TTCGAAATTTCATTATACCGAATATCCTGCAGTCACTGTTGAACCTTTGTCGTTAATGTGGTGGTATTGACAACTGTTAAAGGATGAGACGTTGAGGTCATGACTTCCCTTACGACCTCATGACACCTGCACTGTCAGTCACCTCGCCTATAACATATGGTTATGACATAGAGGTGAATATTTTTCGAGAGCTTTGTATTTGATGGCAACAGCATTACTTTTTATGAATGAAATGTATCATACCAACAGCCATGTGGAATAGAAGTATGTTTAACCTTGTTCTTTGAGGCTTTTTATATATACTTAACCTATATAACAACATGAATTGTTATATAGTCATTCTTATACATTATATATTAATACACACACACAGGAAGGAAGTGGTCTATTGTTAACATATACCAACAATTGACTTATGTAACATGTAAACAGTGAGAAGATTTACGTCATAGGAAACTCTCTTGTTGTGGGTCCAGGTTTTAGGTGAGTGTGAGCGTGACTGGGAGGAGAGTGGGTCATCTTCCCGTTCTCTCAAGTGTGTGGAAAGGTTCAAGTCTACGGGGAGGACACACTTGATTGGGTGTTCTCTCTCTCTCACTCTCTGTCGAACACACACACACACGCAACAAATACAAGCTCTCTCTCTCTCTCTCTCTCTCTCTCTCTCTCTCTCTCTCTCTCCCCACACACACACACATGCAACAAATACAGGCACTCTCTCTCTCTCTCTCACACACACACACACACACACACACACACACACACAAACTTCATATGTGTCACCAGTGCCCAAGTCAACCAGCCCACAATCCTTTAATCAGTAACGACCCATTGTAATCACCGCAATACCCAGCTTAATCTGTGAAAGTTTTGTGTTTCACTGGGCTTATGCTAATATTGCAGGAGTCGTAGACCCTCAGCAATTTGGGAATATGAAAACTTCCTCCACCAATAATCACTGTCTTGTCAGCTTTCTCGACTACATATACCGCCATCTGGAGAAACGAAAAACGTCTGTACATAAGAACGTAAGAAAAATGAGGAGTCTGCAATAGGCCGGTTGGCCTGTGCATGGCAGCTCCTGTAGCTGTCGCCTTCATTGACTTCACTAAGGCATTCGACCTAGTCGACCACAATTTAATCATCAACAAAGCTATCAACCTCGAGTTTCGAAGAAGTCTTATACCATGGCTGACAGACTTCTTCAGTGACCGACGCCAAGCTGTACGCTTCGGAGGGGCTGTCTCCACCTTTCAGTCACTCACCTGTGGCGTCCCCCAAGGCACTAAGATGGGACCACTAAGCTTCCTTATGCTTATGCTTATGCTCAACAATTCTGCTCCCGACTATACCGCCTTTCAGGATTTATTGAACTGTCTCCAAAACTGGGCCACCAACAACCACGTCACCATCAACCATACCAAGACCATGGTTATGCACATCAACCTCTCCTCCGACGTTGTCCCAACCCCTTCCATTACTTTTGGTTAACACACTCCAGGTTGCAGATTCCGCTAAGCTCCTCGGCGTCACCATAGACAACAAACTAAATTGGAAACCACACGTCAGTGAAGTTGTCAAATCCTCCAGTTTCCGTCTCCACCTCCTCCGATGACTCAAGTCCCTCGGAGTTCCTGCGCCCGAGCTCCTCAGTGTTTTCTCAACATTCATATTTCCCAAGCTCACCTATACCTCCCCCACCTGGTCGTCCTCCCTAAATGCCACACAACGTAAACACCTGAAAAAGTGCAAAAGAGAGCATGCAAGATTATTCTCTCCCCTTCCTACTCCACGTACCGAGAAGCGCTCGACACACTGACCCTCTCGGCTCTCACTGACCATCACCACGACCTCATCTGCAAATTTGGTGAGAAGCTTCTGCACCATCCTCTACACCGGCTCCTACTACCACCTGAGATTCCTCGTCCGAGAATTGCTGTTCGACACCACAACCGCATCCAGCCCATACGAGCACGAACTGATCGCTTTGAGAACAGCCCAGTCCCAACCATTGTAAAAATGACCAATAACTTGTAATCAACCAGTGTATTCACTCCCAGTCAATCTTACTTCTTGCACTGTCACTATGTTCAAATGCCCTTTAGTATGACCTTCTCCCCACCTAGTTATTATATATCATATTTTTATCACTTATGTTTCTTGTATATTATTAATTATTATTATTATTATTATTACACACACACACACACACACACACATGCAACAAATACAAGTGTACACTCTCTCTCTCTCTCCACACACACACACACACCGATGAGGTCCTGTGGATTACGCCAAGCATAAAAAGACTTATTGAGCAGCGCAACAAGGCATACTACACCAACAACCGCCTGTACAAAAGTCTACGTAACCAGGTCATCAAGGAAATCAAGTCTGCCAAGAAGACTTATTATCCCAGGAAAGTGCACGGCCTCAAGGAAGTCGGCATCGGTCAGTGGTACTCCAAGGTAAAAGATCTCTGTGGTCTCAACCGTCAGTCTCCCACACTTCCTTTCATCTCACATTTACCTAATGAGGAGGCAGCTGAGATAATTAATAACCATTTTGCTACCATATGTCATACCTTACCCAGTCTTAACCTCACTCTCCTCCCAGCTTACTTACCGTCCCCCTCCCCCCCTCCCAGTGTTCAACCATATGAAATCGCCAACAAACTCCACAAATTTAAATCCAAACGCTCCACGACCCCAATTGACCTCCTAATCAAAACATACAAGGAGTTTGCAGTCGAACTTGCCACCCCCCTCTGTTCTATTATTAATGCATCCCTCAGACAAAGCAAATGCCCTAATGAATGAAAAACAGCATTTGTCACCCCCATCCCCAAGGCCCCCACCCCACAGTCCCCTAACGACCTCAGGCCAGTTGCCATTACCCCCATACCCAGTCTACTTTGTGAGGACTTTGTTTTTGAGTGGGCATTTGCCAGTATCTATCAGTCAATTGATCCACAGCAATTTGGCAATATGAGGACCTCCTCTACATCACACTGCTTGGTGAGCTTTCTGGATTTTCTGCACAAAAACTTGCAGAAACGTAAGACATCATTGGCCGTTGCCCTTGTGGACTTCAGGAAGGCCTTTGACCTTGTTGATCACTGCACTGTTATCAACAAGGCTATTGCACTAGGGCTGCCCACCAACCTGGTCTCATGGGTCACTGATTTCTTGAGTGGACGTCGCCAAGCAGTGAGGTATCAGGGCTTGGTCTCTACATTCCAACACCTCACCTGCGGTGTTCCCCAGGGGACCAAGATGGGACCACTGTGCTTCCTCATCCTGATCAACGACGCTCTATCGGACACTCCTCACAGGTGGAAGTACGTGGATGACTGCACTGTGGGGGTTTCAGTGGACAACACCACACCAGACTACTCATCGCTACAAGGCACCCTGGACAGGCTACAGGCATGGACTACGGAGAACAAGGTCACCATCAACTACACGAAAACCGTAGTCATGCACATCAATACCGCCACCACTCCAGTGCAAGCCCCTGCAGTCACAGTGGGTGCCCAGCCTCTCCAGCTGGTGCAGTCTGCCAAACTCCTGGGTGTAACTATAGACAACAAACTTGACTGGAAAGCCCATGTAAATAACACAGTCAAGGCAGCCTCGTACCGTCTCTACATGCTACGACGACTTAGGTCACTTGGGACACCCACGCCAGAGCTGAGAACCATCTACAACTCCTTTATTCTCCCCAAACTAACGTATGCGTCACCAGCCTGGTCGTCTTCTCTCAACTCCACCCAACAACGTCAGCTAGAGAAGGTACAGAAAAGGGCCTGCAGAGTCATGCTCGGCGCAGAATACTCCGGCTACACCAACGCTCTCTCCACCCTGGAAATGCCATCCCTCAGTGACCTCCACCACCAAGCACTGGAAAGGTTTGGCAGTGGACTACTGCACCACCCTCGTCAACGCCACCTCCTGCCACCTGCAGCCCCCCACCCAACTCGCGCAGTCCGCCACTACAACAAAATTCAGCCCATAAGAGCCCGCACTGATAGATATAAGAAGAGCACCATCCCATCTATTGTTAAAATAATAAACAATTCCTGATTTATGTACTGTACAGCCCTGTAAATGTATTCAATGCATATTATATCATTATGTCTAAATCAAATGTAAGTTTGTATATTTTTAGCCACCGGCTGCAACTCTATTAATAAACCGTTTATTATTATTTATTATTATTACACACACACACACGTCCGTCCTTGACACAGTAAGTTTTTTTTGGGGGGGTGAGCGTCGGTGTGCTCTCGGAACTTCACCTAAAGGTAACAATACTTTATTATTTTCTTATTGAGTACCAGGTGAGGTGGAGGCGAGAGAGAGAGAGAGAGAGAGAGAGAGAGAGAGAGAGTATAGGGTACAGGTAGTAAATATAAAAAAAGAGATGATGTATAGAATTAACAAATATAAATGACTCACCTAGGGTATACCAACTAGGGTTTCCTGTTTTGGAGTTTTCTTAGCATCCCGAAATTCTGGGACAAACCAGGATATTTCCCGCATCAGGTGATATTTGTACTAACTAATGCTATATGCTAACCCTATACTTCATTAGTGTAGTATCTGTAGATTATTTGATAGGCAATTGATTTGATAAATTATATTACACTGAAGCAAAGTTCTCTATATTAACTTGCATACTGGTGTAAAGATAGGTACATAACATGATTAAACAAGCAAAATTTTAATTAATCTCATTCCGTTAGCCATAAAAGAAACTCACAGACATTTGGAATGGCATTTGGAAGCCACATTCTACAAAAACCTAAAGCGAACACTTGAACGACCTGTGAAAAATAATAGCATAACATCATTTGTGCACACAAGCCACACAGTCACGCACACATCAAAAGTTGTTCATGAAATAACTTATGATGTAATGTGAGAGGGAGGGAGAGGGTGGGTGAGAGGGAGGGAGAGGGAGAGGGTGGGTGAGAGGGAGGGGGGCGAAAGGCGGAA